CGACGCACATCTCCTTTCCAGGATCCCCTTTTCTTGTATGCGTGTTGGTGGGTGGTTAAGATTTGTGGTCAAAAATAGAAATACCCAGAACTCCCACTTTGGCTCTAACCATGCACTGGGGAAGGGTAACCGACCCTCTCCTTTTCCTGAGGTGTGCAACACTTTGCATGTGTGTTGCATTTGCCTCATCAAAGCAAGTCAAATACTCGGGGTCGAGTCCTGGCACAGGGATGTGTGTAGGAAGAAATACCTGCTTGTCCTTTGCAAAGGCTGGTAGGCATTGCTGTGACCTTAGAGAGGTCACAACAGTGGAGTTTTGGGCACTGTAACCTCTCTTAAGCTATTCAGTTTCTGCTGGTGCTCTCTCATACACCCTCTGAAGGCTTCCTAGGGTTGCACTTAGCTGTGTGTTTAAATCTGCACCTCACTTCAGCTGATGTAAATAAAAATTTTTACTTTTGTGCAGGTGAATTGATTACCATTGCTGTGCTTACTAAGCCAACAGTAATGGTTGTTGTTAATCACATTGAGTCCAGGCCCAGTGTCTGCAGAGCTTTTGAACTAAATCAGCTTAAAATCTTAGGATGTGTTGTTTAAGTTAAACCAATGCAGCTTTCTGATGTAAACAAGCCATTACAGCTGCTTTGCAGCTTGGAGTGGCGATTGCAGTGTCCAGTAAATTATGCTCTGAGGGTAAAAGTTAAGTGATAACAGGTGGGCTGTGTTTTAGAAAGATGGTCTTGAGATACATATATGTTGTGGAATGACTAGGGCTTCCTGGAAGAATCACAGATCAGAAATTCATCTCTTGTAATGTATATTTTCTTTGCAAAGGCAAGTAGAAAGTGGTTGGTAATGTCTTATTTATGGAGAGGAGAGAGGGGGAGGTTCAACAATGCTGAACTAACTTGCTTTCAAATACTCCAGACTTTTTCAGAGACTTCTTACTAATAATCTTGTAGTGTGCATGTATTCATGCAGTGTGTTTATTACCAATTATGATGTTAATGTTTTTCCACTTGGAGGTTTTTTACAGGAGTTTCCAAAATGCTGTGTATGTATTTAACACAAGCAATTTGACTGAAACTCCAGTCCTCTTTGGGGCAGGTAGTTTAGCCATAGTGCTTTACATCTTACAAGAAGAAAAGGAGAGAAAGAGGGTTAAGCAAGGTGAATTTCTCTTAATTTCACATGGCCACCAATTAAAACAATGGCAGTGTTCTTTCTCCCATATCCACAGACCCTTGTCTCTGTGGACAAGGAGGTGTTTGTCATAACAGCAACAGGGAAACCTTTAATTTGTGTTCCAAATGCAAACTGAGACCTAATAATTCTGCTGATTACTTTCTTGTGCTGCAAGTGCCAATTTCCAACCTTAGGGGAGCCCACACATGCATCTGTCAGCTTCATTTCACATGTATCCAAGAGTAGGAAAATTTATCTTGCTGTTCAGGCAGTCCAGTTGAATGGAGGAAATGCTTTGAGTCGGGCTGTCTTGCTGTCTGCAAATTTTGTGAACTTCTTGTAGGTTCTTACTTACAGGATAGCAACAAATAATTCAGATGATGGTGCAAACCACTGTTGTCTGTGGCCAAAACCAATCTCTAGAATTTAGCCACAATAAGGAGGTGTGTAGCCACAATAAGGATGTTGCAACATCAGGCTGCAACTGCAGCATCCCTTTTTTCTGTTGGCTATTGTTTCACACCCCACAATTGGAATGGCTAATGGATCCTGGCCTCCTTCCTGGCCATGCATATTTTCTTTGGTAGATGCAAAGTACAGAGCCATATGGCTGTATCTGCACTGCGTTGGGGGCGGGGGAGTAATCCTCTGGCACTTATCCTGCCTGTGCAAGTAGCTTGCAGTCATCTCCTTCTGCAGTTCTCCATGCAAGTGGTGTGACTGCCATTGGGAGCAGCAGCCCTGATTAGGGGTAGCTAGCCCCATGCCTACAACATTCCCTAGACAACACTGAGCATCCATGTTCTGTTTTGTATGGTCAGTCTGAGTGCTTCTGCCACTTCACTACCTCTCCTTGGCCTCATGGCTCTACAGATTAACTGGCAGCCAGTGTGCACATTTTATATAACGCATACTCTGCTGAGAGAGTTTTGCCTGATTTTTTTTTTTTTTTTTCCTATAGATGAGGAGAGATATCTTATGAGTAACATAAGCCTCTTGGGATCAGACTGAGGGTTTTGAATATAGTATTTCACAAACTACTTTCCCATTTTGGTGTGTGCTGGCTCTTTCTTCTCTTCCCCCTGCCTCCAAGTCTGGAAAGCTAGAGAGAAGTCCTTTTCCCCTCTCGGCCAGGATGCTATTCAGCCATTGCACATACTGCCAGATTGCTAACATATGGGTAGAGGGCTCAGCCAAAGTTTTGAGAGGCTCAGCCCTTGGCAGCTCATTCCACGCTTTCCTGTCTCTACATTCAGGAAATGAAGTCAGTGTTGATATAAAACAGGCTGGGTTGAAAGCTGAGAAGCTGGAAAGACTGAAGTGGGGGACTGGGAGGGGGGAAGTGGAGAGCGGCAGGGGCTGGTTGCAGTGTACATTGCCCTGCAGCATGTGTGGGTTGGGGGTTTCTTGCCTTGCACTGGTGTCCTCTATTTGATTGCTTTTGCTACCTCAGAGTCAGAGGACTGAGATTTTATGCTGGCAGACACATATGTCTTTCCTCTGGTGTATGGAAAGGTCAGCATGTAGAGATAGTGTTGTCTTGATCACGCGGAAGCATTTATGCAAGAGCTTGGAAGGGGTGAAAGTTGAAACTCTGGCAAAGAGCATGTATTTCCATATCTAGGACATGGGATTCCCTTACCTTTTGACTTTTTTCCTGAAGAATGACTCCATTGCTAAATTTCTATGGAATGATGTGGTTCTAATGAAGAACTACTTTTCTCAGACAGCTTTAACATCAATTATTTTTTTACTAGTCCAGAGACTCTGTGGGATGGATGCAGGGGGTTCCAGTTCAGTGAGACTGCAGTGGGGATGGTCTTTCTTGCCTAGGGACTTAGCAGTTGGTGTGCTTCACTTCTAGGTCACTAGTTCAACCTAATCCAGCATGGCAATAACCAAAAATAATAGAAAGCTGGAAGCTGTTTGTGGCTTACAGAATCTGAAGTGGTGTGTGTGGCTCTGAGACTGGTACCTAGCTGACAGATGTCCCATCACAAAAGTGCTTTCCCACCTCTAATCTAGACTGATCAACAATACTAAAAACATCCTGGGGAACTTGCTTGGAAGAGCTTTCCTGCTTTCATAGCCTGGCATCTTTGATGGGAGAGAATGGAGAGTTTGGCAGCTACCCAAGTGATCTCTTCTGTTTTCTAGATGCTGGCTTCTGGGATATTCCTGTTGCATAAATTTTGTAATGGACTGGTATAGTTTGATCTTCAGGGCATGTCTGAACTCTATAGTGTCTGGTATCCTTAGCAAAATCAAGTCAATTTAACTGAAACTTAAGAGGGTGGTAGGCTGGACTTGCCATTCTCTGGGTGTTTGAGCTCCGCAGCTTTGTCATTTGCTGTTCTGCCTTGCCCCTCTTTTCTAGCTAGGTCTTCAGGATCTCTGCTCGCTGACCATCTTTGTTTTCCATTCTTGTTCCACCCAAAAGCAATCATGTTTTGTTGTTTCCAGCCAAGAAAGGTCTCAAATACACAAGATGCTCACAAGGGGACAGTCACACATGTGTGCTTGCACACAAAAGTATGTTCTGGTTTTATTTCAGTCTTAGATAGCCACACTCTGTTTTTTGGAGACCAGTGTGGTGGCTCCCTCTCTTGTTAGGTTGGGGTATAATACCCAGCTGGAACAGGATGGTCCAAATGGGGACCTTAAACCAAACTCACGTCTGTTAATTTGCTGTAGATCCAGATTTGAGACTAAGCAGGGGAGAATGATTTCCAACTTAATTTTTACATTTACATCCAGAAACTAAGATCAAGTTTGGGTTTTGAAAGATGATATCTAGGGTCAAAAATGTTGAGTTTGCATTTTGGGGGCCTTGTTCTGTGTTTAGCTGGAGATGTCTCTTAGGAACCAGGCTGGAGGCTGGTTATGGTTACAGTTCCTCTGAAAAAGAGGTCCCTTAAAGCTCTCCGAGTCTGGTCACTGGAATTTTGGACTCTTGTTTCTAACATTCACCAAGCCATAAAGTACGCATATTGATTGAGCTTCTAATCATTCAGAGCATGAGATTTTCATTAATGAGCATAGCTACTTGATTTTTTTCAACACTGTGGACCTTAAGGTTACCTAAAAGTAACCTGTATTATTGTAGCCAGATCTGATCTTTGATCTTCTGACATATATTTATTATTGCATACTTAACATTTTAAAAGGGTTCACAGTACCCCATAGAGTATAAGACAGTGGTAGAAGTGAGAAAGTCAGCTTTTCTGGAGAGGTGAATTTAAGCTGATATAGTCCATAACTTCTGTGTCAAACCAGCTTCTCTATCACATGCCTGGCTTTTCTTGAACCTGGATATAGGCTTGTAGTGATTAAAAGTAAAACACTGAGGTGGTGACGCTGGAGCTGTGAGGGCTGCTGTACCCTTTCTCTGACCAGCAGCAGTGTGGCCATTAATACTGTCCTGAGAACAGGTATGAGGAGCCTTTCCCAGGTAGACCTGCTCTAGGTGTCAAGTGGCTGGTGAGGGTCTCGGTGCTGACTGACCCCTGGCTGGGAAGAGCAAGGACCTTGATGTTGATCGCAACCTGGGGAATTGGGACAGTGCCATGCTGCTGCCTGCGCCTGGAGGAGTTAATGGGGCAGGGTTGTTGGGCCACATGACAAAAGCAGTCAGGAAGGACAAACTCTTGTTTTTAGAGGTCCCCTTTTCTCACAGGCTTAAAGGGACCAGAGGACCTGGGTTGAGAATGCCTCCCTGGTGATGTGGGGGCCGTATAGCTGATGGTCTCCTCTGTGCTGACAGAGTAGAGACTTCGTTGGAGCAGTGAGTAACTTGTTAACAATCCCCTTTTCAGGAGAAAGAGAAGAAGTATATGTTACCAGTGGATAACCTGAAACTGCGAGATGTTGAGAAGGGGTTCATGTCCAGCAAACACATCTTTGCTCTCTTCAACACTGAACAGAGGTATGCTTACATCTCAATAGGCCAAGCTGTTGAAGCTAGGGACAGGCTTTATGTAATATTAGGTAGGAGGGAGTAGACATGAGTGTGGTGGGATAGCTGTCAAGGAAAGATGTGAGTATCCTTTAAGGATAGCCATTTCTGGAGGAGAAAAGGGACTTTTTTTTAAAAAGAAGTCTGACTTCTGGTCTTACAGATGTGTACACTGGTTCTTCACCAGTGCATGGTCTGCAGTGTGACCTTAGCCTTCGCCTAGTTGGTGTGGTTACCTGGGTCTGGCTGTGATTGGAGTATATGTTTATAATCAACATTCTTGGTGAACAGGGAAAACCATAGGAGATAAGGAACCCAGGTTTGCTGGAGAAGTCCATCAGTGAGCAGAATTGAAAAGGGAATCTCTTTCAGGTCCTGTTGAAACACACAACTGATTTGGAGGCAAACTTGCTCATAAAAAAACTAATTTCCTTTCACTTTGGCAGGGATGCCATGAGGATACTAGCAAGGGACTAAGTCTGCCTTAAAATGATGGGAAGATTCCCTGGTCATTGACATCTTTGTCAAATATGGGCAAATCTCTGATTTGCAATAGGAAAAAATAAAATGTTTGTCTTCCTCTCAGGAATGTCTACAAGGACTACCGGCAGCTGGAGCTGGCCTGTGAGACCCAGGAGGAGGTGGATAGCTGGAAGGCTTCCTTCCTTCGTGCAGGAGTCTACCCAGAGCGTGTTGGGGTAAGTTACAGCCATAATAACGGGAGGAACACAGCATATATCTTAAGAAGGATAACTGCATCCTCTTATGTTAAAAATGAGTCCATGAAGGCTTTGTCTCTTTCTTGAGATGAGAATATTTTGGAACAAAAATTTAAGTTTTTGGTATGTCCTGGTGCTTCCTTTAAGGAAGCTTGGGATAAAGTAACTGGCAGCTTCAGAAGGGAGAGAAAGTAGGCAAAGGCTGCCTTGATAAACCCTTCTAGCTCTCTTGTTTTGTGGGCATTACATTCCAAACATAAAGAGGATTTTTAACTACCTGACTATTAAGTGGTATGTATCTGAATGAAGGGAAGGCACGATTCCTTTTCAGTAACACTTAACTGTACAGCCTTGATAGGAGCTTCCTGGCCTATTGGTAATTGTTCCATTCCTTCCCCCACCCAGTTAGGAAGGGATGTTCTTTGAATTTTTCTTTTGCTTGGTAGACAGGTTAATATGCTACTTCAGCAAGACCTCTTACCTCTTCCCTTAGCCTTGTCCCACAACACTAGCTGTCAGCATTATGCTCTGCTTTAAAAGTATGTTCTAGAGAGTTGTGGTGTATGTTGCTGTTCAAAGCCTTCCTTCCTGTTCCTCTCTGAGAGGAAGCTGCTATAAATAGTCTTCCCATTAGAAAAGTGTAATTGCCTATCTGTATTTGTTGCTTCTAATAAACTTCTTGCCTTCATCTTTCCTGTTACACTTGAAGATTGTGGGTTTTGCCTTAAAGCATTTTCTGACAAACTGATGTGATACTTAAAAAAAATCAGGGACTGGACCTTAAGTGACATGACTTAAGATTGGCTTTGAACCAGGCTGGGCTTCTTAAACACATACTCATGCAGGACATCTGCCACCTATTGGTGTGTAAATGGAGTGGTTTGACATAGGAATACTGATCCTAGGTTGGCTGTCTCAAAACCCTATGTAACAAATAACAAGTAGCCATTGTAGGTAAGTAAACTGTCCTTTGTTAGTGATACAATTTCCTTTGCAGAGCATCCCATTTTGATTTTCAGTTCAGCTAAACAATTCACTTGTTCCTCTTCCAGGGTAATCTAGGTATTTATGTATATTTAGTGGGATTGGTCTTTTGCTTGTTCAGTGGGATCTTCAAATTCTGAGACCAACTAAAAGTTGTCTTTTTTGTCCCTTTTTGTTTTAATTTTTTCCACATATGCTCAAACTGGCCTGCCAGGACAAGGACAAAGTAAGTCTGACCCTCTCTGCCTGTGTTGCCCCCTGGGGCTCTCACCAGATAGTTCTCTTGTTTTTCCCCTTTTGTCACAGTTTCCTGAGGGACATTTGCTGTTCTTTTTACCTTCTGTTGGATTGCTGCTGTTTGATTCTGGTTTTGGTTTGAGTTTTGCTTTTTTTCTCTTTATTTCTCCCTTTTTTTGTATGACTTCTGAATCTTGATGCAAGCTTATTTTTTATTTTTTGGACTTGTTCTTAAGTTGTCCTCTGACATCCGCTTCCTTTACTTTGTTTCTCACTGAGACCTCACATTCCTTCGTTATGTAAGATCTTCCCAGGAAAAGCTCAAATGAACAGAAGAATTTGCCCTTTCTCAAGCATTTTGTTCCCAAAAACAAAAGATAAGAAAATTACTACACTACTGCAAATCATTCAAACTTGGATGGTTTAAAAGATTTTCTTTATAAAATCAAGGTGGGTTTTTTTTTTTAAATAAGCATTGAGAAAGACAGCAGTCTTTCATGCTTTGCTGCTTTGAAATTGATCCCAAATGGATGAGCCTTGGTGATTGCTTGCTGTCAACAGCAGTCCAGATTTTACCCTACAGAAAACTAAACAATGCATTTCAGGCAGACAGGAAGAGATTCATCTGCTTGGTGTGAAAGAAAAGATAATTATGGCTTACAATGCAGGATTTGCAGTTAAAGTGATCAGGGAGGTTTTCTAGGTTACTCCATCCACTTGCAGTCTGACTGAGGTGAGCAGTTATTTTGCCTCGCTGTATCTGTTTTCCCATTTGTGTAATGAGGATAAAGATGCAGTGTGTTGGAGAGCCTGTAAGGCTTAATTTATGGTGGGTGATTCTCAGGTCTATACTGAATCTGGACTTGGAAAGCCCAGCTCAGATGAAGAAGCTTTTGGGAAGCTATAAACATTAAAATTAAAAATTAGTTTTGAGTATTCACTAGAGCCATAACCTGTGAACGTTGGTCTGGAGTCTGTTGCCTTTCACCTTTGTGTAATAACTTTCTATTAAGAGAGCAGCTTTATTGTTAAAGCTTCTCAGATCTGAGCTGGAGAAGTCTGTGAGCTGAGCTGTGCACTGACAATCACTGCTCAAAATGTGAGTTTCAGTAAGATTTATTGCATGCACTTCCTGTGTGTTCCCTTATTTAGTTTTTTATCTTAGTGCTCTCATGAAAAACTAATTGTCTTAAATTTGAAGAACGAATCTGTTTCTCCTTTTCTCTGCAGGCCAGTGAAGCAGAGGAGAATGGATCAGACAGTTTCATGCACTCCATGGACCCTCAGCTGGAGAGACAAGTGGAAACGATCAGGAACCTGGTGGATTCCTACATGGCAATTGTCAACAAAACCATCAGAGACCTCATGCCGAAGACAATCATGCACCTCATGATAAACAATGTACATATCACACTGTGGTTGATGGAGGTGGGGAGGCACAGAGAAGGGGCGGGGGGGGGAAGGGAGGGAGAGAAAGAATGAAGAAAAACTTAAGGCAGCTTGGAAGCAGGAAGAGGTGGGGACAGAATGGAGTGTTTTGGGGAAGACGGGAAATTCATTCCCTCTCTGTGCTCATTTACAGACCAAGGACTTTATCCATTCGGAGTTGCTGGCAAACCTGTACTCCTGTGGTGACCAAAATACTCTGATGGAGGAATCGGCAGAGCAAGCCCAGCGACGTGACGAAATGCTGCGCATGTACCATGCCCTGAAAGAGGCCCTCAACATCATTGGAGACATCAACACCAGCACTATCAGCACCCCTATGCCCCCACCGGTGGACGACTCTTGGCTGCAGGTGCAGAGCGTACCGTCTGGACGCAGGTACCAGAGGCTCAGGGGGAGAGCCCCACAGACCTGCCTGATGCCTCTTCAGTGGCTGGGTGGGGCCTCCTACCGAGACAGGGAGTCCTCCTCTTCCCCTCTTCTCCCTCTGGATGAAGAGTTCTGGGTACTTGTGTTGGCAGGCTCCTAGGCTTTGAAAGCTATTCAGGGCTGCTGTGTCTTTACAGAGGCTGTGGAGGCTTCTAAACCCTTAGGCTAAATGGGGCCTGAAGTAGTTTTGAAGGCAACCTGAAGCCTGGTGTGGCCCTTGAAAGCCGAAGGGTGGTGTGTAAAGTGACATGAAGCTAAAGGAGGAACAATGAAGGCAGCATGATGGTGACCTGATGATGACACAGAGGGATCCCAGGCCTGTTGTTGCAGTTGAATTTCTTCGTTTGTTTGCCAGGTCTCCTACGTCCAGCCCCACGCCACAGAGGAGAGCTCCCGCTGTTCCACCCGCCAGACCTGGGTCTCGAGGTCCGGCTCCTGGGCCACCTCCTGCTGGTGGGTCCACGCTGGGTGGTGCCCCCCCTGTGCCCTCCAGGCCAGGTGCCTCTCCTGATCCCTTTGGGCCCCCACCTCAGGTTCCTTCTCGGCCTAATCGTGCTCCTCCTGGTGTTCCCAGGTAAGTCCTGAAATGCGGTTCCACACAGGTGGGATACATGCCATTTTTCGTTAGTGGCCATGACAGTACTTAGCCTGCCTGGGCCATAGAAGGAGAATGGAGTGCATGCTATGGGTACAGTCTTTGACTACTTGAATTGGGTCCATAGGCAGGAGCATCGTTGTCCACTGATATTTCATGGTACAGATGAGGCAATACCAAGGCAGCTCTCAGGAACAGAGGGGAAGCCTCTTCTCTGCACAAATCTCTGTGCAAAGGTTGGGGGAAGAGGACCTTGTACCTGAGGGCTTTATTAAAGCAATCATACCAATGCCTCTGCTCATAAGTAGGAGGTGGTAACCAGAAAAATCACAGGACTGGAATGACAGTACACCTTTCAAGGCAGTTCCCCCCTGTGTAGGGCTCCCCAAAGTCTGAAGTTACCCCTCTTCTCCTGGCCCAGAGTTCTTCAAGGTGAGTTGGAGAGACCTTTATCTTAACTGTTCAGAAGCTTTTTTGCTAGGAGAACATTGCAATATCTCTGGCAGGGAAATTGATTATTTTTTTTTTAGGCATTTTTGTTACTTCTGTAATCAACTTGAATATTTTTCCAGTCTAGAGGGTTCAAATAATACAGCTTTGCTCTCCCATTAAGAAACTTAATTCCTTTCCTGTTCAGTCAATTCAAATGCACTTCAACATAGTAATAAGGGATTATCCCCTGTGCAGCTAAGCACGTGTTCCTGAACAGGACTTAGGAGGCAGTCTGGAACTGGGAATGCTTTTAGGTTGGATACTTGGTCTCCCTGCAAGGAAGAAAAGGTGATTGCAGAGTAAAGAATGAACATAACCAGAAACTCCCCGATAACATGCCAGAGGAAACACTTCCCTCATGGAAAATACTTCCTCTCCAGTGGGTGCTGGTGGCACATGTCTGAAGCTTTGCCTTTTTCTGTGAAAACATCCAGCCTGTCAATGGGTGGGGATGGTTTATGGCAGAGGCAGTTCAGTGATAGTGCCCCAGCTCATCTTTGGCGCTGCCTGTTTGGAGGGGAAGTGTTCTCTGCCAGGCTGTATCCAGTCCAGAGATGGATGAGTCCCAGGAGATTATAGACCAGTTTCTGATTCTGGTGTGTGCAAATGGTTTTACTTTCTTGGTGCCTCTGCCCCAGTCCTCCCTATGCACCTTGGTGCAGCTCCCACAGTAACTTGTCCACCCATGCTTCAGTGTTGCCCCAGGGACTGCAGTCCTGCTGGTGGCACCAATGGATGTCAGCATGCTTCTTCTGTGTATTTTGCCTCTTGCTTCTTGTGACCCTGTTTTTCCACATACTGTTACTTTGTGGGTTTGTTTTTAGTGTACTTATGCTTCCTTCTGTCTACATCTTTCTTTTTTCATTCAGTTTCATTTCTTCACTCATGAAAAATATTCTATATACCTGATCATTGTGATAGGATTCCCCAAATGGGCTGGAATAAATTGGCCTTTTTGAAGAAATCTGTCATAGCCTACCGCAATGGCTTTTCTGCCTTTTGCATGAGGTAGAAGGGTTTAGGGGGAGGTAGGGAACAGCACTGGAGCGGAGGAAGAAAGTGTTTCATACTTAACCAAGCAATCACTTGCTTTGGAAGGAGAGGTGGTAGGTTGGATTGCATGCTACAGACTACCCTGATCTGGAGTTGAGAATGTAATTCCAGAAGCTGTGAAGTGATGCTCATTCTCTGATCCCCCTCTCTGATTCTTCCAGTTGTTCATAGACTCCTCTGGATCCTGATACCAGCTTGTCATTTGAGTTCACTGATGAATGGAGAATTTCCAATGACAAGGGACTCTTTCTCTTCCTCTCCTGTATATAGAATAAGAATGTTCCCTGCTAGCACTTGGACTCGGGTCCTTCTGCCATGGGTGAACGAATGCCATCTCCATTGTTGCTTTTTTTAATACCCATATTTTCCCTTGCTAACCGGGCTACATTAGTGTGTGTTTGTGTGAGAGAGGAACAAAGCTCTTGTAACGGCATGAGTGGGCTTTGCTGTAGGAGTTGGTGTTATGTAGTGAACTGGAAGTGCACGGTGGTGGCTGGGTGTACTTTACATGTGTGTGCGCACTGATGCCCATGTAGAAGTTTGGCTGGTTTTGTGCCTCCAGTTTGTGTGAGCATCTGATTTTATGGATGATGAACTTAAAGACAAGTGTTACTCTGCTTCTTTCTTACAAACATGATTGTATAAACACATGCTTTCACATATAAACACCACATGGTCCATTTTCTTGCTCAGGAAGGTTTTCCTGCATGTAATTAAGTACACTTAAGACTGACTTACCATCCTGCCTCTGTACTTAGCATTTATTCAGTCTACTATGGAAGTCTGTATTGCCAAATACATACCTCTGGGAGCTGAAAGTTCCAAACAATATACGGTAAACAATGTAAGGTCTTATCTGTGTGCAATGAAGGACTGCATTTGGACTATATGCCTGTTGGAGCTAGGCAGAAGGATTTGCTCTGGGAGAAAGAACTATGAGGATATTCCTCCAGGTATTTAGAATCTTCGGTTTAAAATAGTTAGAAAGTATAGGTGAAAGAGCTTAGGCAAGCTCAAAAGAGAAATAAGAAAGTTTAAGTGAGAATGACTTAATTGTTGGAAAAATCTGTTGAAGGCATTAATGGGTTTCTCTGTCCTTTGGTACATCTAGGGAAAAAGATGCGAGCGATAAGCATCACTGTAAGCATAACTTCACACCACTTTGACTTGAACTATTCAGCAGGTCAGAGTAGCTGATCTCATGATTTGTGACCTTCAAAATAGAAGTCTTCACCTGCTGCTTCCCTTTTTGGGTTGTGCTCAGGACTTCATGTTATCTCCCTCTTTCCTGAGCTGTTTGTTTCACCTCTAGCTAATGTAGTCAGAAGATAGGAATCCTCAGTGAGGGACAAGTGAAGCTACCTGTGCCCAGCTGGTGGGTGCTGAGACCTAGGTATACTGCTGGTTCATCAGGTATGAACATCAGCCTGGATGTGTGAGCGGACTTGGTGGGTGAGTGAGCAATGGCAGGTTGGTGTGTGAACAGATAGACAGGTTTTGACACAGTGCTGTGCACAACAGGGCTCTGGATGTGTGCAAAGACAATGCTGTGATTGTGTCTACAGAGTCCTGCATGGCTGAGTGGAGCCCTACCCAGCAGTGCACACTTGTGCTGTGTTCTGGAGGGGGATGTGCAAATGTGTGTCTGTACAAGTGCATGTGTCTCTGTTCCACCTTCCTGACAGTCTGTGTGGCCTCTGCCTTGAACTGTCTGAACTGCCATGTTGATTTCATGTTGTCTTTCAGAATCACTATCAGTGACCCCTGAGGACTGGCAGCCACGGTACGTTTTGCACTCTCCCTGCAATGCATGAGTCATTGTGTCCTCATCCTCCATTTGCTCTGCAGCTCACCTCTGCTGCCTAGTTCTTGTATTAGCAAGAGAGTCCCTTGTCCAATGAATCACCTTTGCCAGGATCTCATAAAGGGAGGAGTCTTGAACAGAAAACTGGCTGATCGGAGACAGAGCAGCTGCTTGAGCTGCAGGAGCTAGGAAAGCCTCAGTACCTGACTTAAGGTTACTAGAGGACCACTCCTCTGCTTCCAGATAGAGGAGGTGGGATGGGGGAATGAGCTCTGGCAACTAGGTCTAATCTGTATGTGTCTTTCGTTTGGTTTATATCCACACTGACTGGGAGATCAGCTGAAGGAACTCTGTTTTGATTTGGTTTGTCAGCTCTGTTAGGGTCAAGATAGAGACTTGGGGAGCTGCTAGTTCAGACTCCTCTTCTTCTAGTCTAATGTCTGGCTGGAGAAGTGCTCCCCTCCCCGTTGTGTCCCTAGTGCTCATGGAAGGCAGGAGGAGTTTGGGTCATTAATGTCAGGACTTCCATGTTTGAGCACAGGGTGACTCTGACATTGAATGTTCCCTGTTATCCTTGTGTCCCATCATCACCGTTAGAAGTGAACTCCCTTTGCTTGTTCTCCACTTGACCCTTTACCTTCTAGGTTACTCTTCTGCTTCTGTTCAAACTGCCTTCTCTCCTCTGCCCCCTGCTCCTGCGAGAGGAAGCGTTTAGTGGTCCGTGTCCCCCAAAACGCTCTGCCCTGGGCTCCTGCCTGTTTCCCTTTCCTATCTCTCCCTGCATTTTGCAGCATTGTACTCGTTCAGTGAAGTAGAAGGGTATTGAGGCAGGCACATGTGTACTGTGCTGGCCCAACAACTCTACCTTGTCCTGTTAATGCTGAGGGTGGGGGTGTAAATAGGGAGATCTGGCAAATTCTCCTGAGTGTTTTTCCTGGCAACCTCCAGCCCTTATTGACAAAGGGGTAGAAAGGGCAGAACAGGGCAGATGTGTGTTTTGGGCCCCTTCTCCCTTTCTCTGTGGATGTTGTTACTTGAAGTGAAAGGTCTGAGAGGAGTGGAGCAGCAGCTTCTGTACATTCCCTTGCTGCTGGTTGTGGCAGAGTGCTGGGGGAGACTGTGCTGAATTCCTGTCTTAAGAATAGTGTGAGTTCAAGCCCCTGTTCCAGGGCAGGGGAGCTCACAGATAGCCCCCATCTTGCAGCAGATGGTGTCTGTGACTGCTGCATGTAACTGCAGTTAGAGCTGAGAGGTGCCACATCACATCAAACCAATGCAGTGGTTGTTCAGTGATTGACATCTTTGAGGACGTCATCCATCAGCCCTCCTCACTGATGACATACTGCAGAGGTGTTGGAGCAATCAGCAGTTTCCTCCAATACTCTGCCTACTGCAGACATCCCTGGCAGCCCTAGAAACATGCATCTTGGTGAACAGCCTCAGGAAAGAGGCTTGCTGTTGTCTGTACTGCGTTCTGGGACTCGCTGTTATGGGGCGTTCTGTTCTTAATCTGGCATAAAGAGCACCAAGGAAATAAAAAACCCAAAACAACACCAAAAACCAAAAAATAAATTTAATGTTTTATCATCTCTGTTAGGTCCTTATCAGCAGAACTCTCTGTTAGCCTGTTGGTTTCTAGATACGGTTAGCTCAGTGTTCTGTCTGGGTATGGCTTGAAAGGCTGACTTCAAGGCCCGTGACAGTCACTGTAACTGGTCTGCTTGGGCTTCTGCCAGGACTTGGGTCTTACTTCCAGTGTACTGAAGTGCCACAAGCTTCCCTGTGAGCAAAGCTTTGTTCCTTGTTGTCCTGACAGAGGAAAGTGACTTTTCAGTGATGTCAAAGGGCTTGGCTAGCACTGTAGTGAGACAGACTGAAGCAGCATTTCAGGGGTAAATGTTGCTTGAGAGACTTCTCTGTCCCTTTTTGTGCTGGGAAACACTTCAGCCTTCTGTAACCTTACCAGGCAGATTCTGCAGGTGTCTCCAGAAAACTTGAGCAGAGACAAAAGCTGTAACTTTAAAAAGTGACAGCCCTTTCCCGGTAAAATGCTCTCAATGCTGAGAGAAATAAGGTCTGCAAAAATCAATCATAGTACTCTACAAAAAATGCAGCCCATCCACCTGAAAATTACTTGTGCTCCTTTCAGCCTATTTATTCTGGTAGGGTCAAGTGGCCTCTCTTGCCAGAACACATTACACAGTCCAGTGACTTCAAGCATCTTTTCATGTAAATCCACAGAGGCTGTTAGGACAACCTGTGCAAACTCCTGAAATGCAAAGAGCTCTTCAAGCTTCTCAAAAAAAAAAAAAAAAAAAAAAAAATTTGCCCTCTTCCTGGCCTAACAGTGCAAGAGCATCTCACTAAAGGTTGAGATGAAGTTTTGTAAGGTTTTAATTCAAGTGTTGTTACTGTTCCAATGACAGTAGTGGCCGTCAAAGGGTTGGTATGGCTGCTTTTACACCATGAGCACCCTTTGGAAATAATGCACAGATCCCACACGTCATGAAGCTCAGGGTCACAGATTCCCCAGCTGTGACATCTCACTGCAAGTTTTGCTTCTGGGGGATAGTGCTATTTCAGCATCCTTCCAAGGTGGTTTTAATTTCCAGGTTAGCTCAATCCCATCATTATTTGCTGTACAGGAGCAGTAACTTGATTGGCAAGCCGACAACGGGGTCTTCCAGTCCCCATTGACACTTTCAGTCAAGGAAATAACATTTCGAAATGTTTCAGCGTCTGAAGCTTTTTTTATGTATTATTTCTCTAAAGCAAGGAACAAGTAGTTGTAATTGTTTTGAGATCTGGGACTTAATAGGTATGGAGCAATAGATTCTGCTGAGGTCTACTGAACAGGACTAGAGTTGATCTGGTTCACTTGCTAAGATGAGGGAGCTTGCCCCATTTTATGGGAGTACAGCATGATTATAGACTTGTAGCCAGTGCCAAATGAAGACTTCCCTACCTCAGAAGACTGTACTGGTGCCAATATCCTCCTCTGCCCCTTTCCCCTTCCGCTTTTCCCTCAGCCCCTATTAGGGGAGGGCCTTCATTTCCAGCAGTTAGTTGATTCTCTGTAATCTAAATTAAAGTTTGTCAGTGTGGAATTGTTCAGGCATTAATTCTGTGACACCTGGTTCTGTACAATCAGTGGAAATACTTCCTCTCTACCTGGGGTACATCCTGCTGGGTTTGCTCTTTGCATTTCGGGCAGTTTGGACTGTACAGCTACTCTGGATTGGTACCGAACAATTTAATTATAATAATTCACCATCATGAGGCTGTTTAGGTTGCAGACAGTGCAGGGAGCGTGTTTTAAAGAAAAAATACTAATTGGAGTCACTGACTTACAGAACACTTTTTTTTGGTAGACTTCTTAAAGCCTATAGTCTGAGTCTGAAGTGGTCTTTCAAGTAATGAGTTGAGAGAGGCGGCAGGGGTGTTGTCTTACATTTTCTGGGGTTTTGCTCTTCCCAGTCCCTTACAGGAAGGAGATCCTAGGACACTTAAGCCATGCAGAGGGCAAACACTGAAGCTGCTGCCCACTTACCTAGCTAAAGTACCAGCAAAAGAGCTGAAACAGAATGGAGTAGCAATGGCCAAAGTTGCTTTTATTGCAGTAAGTAGAAGCAGCATTTGCTGAGCACCAGAACTAGAGAACTGAAAGCAGCAAGCTTGCCCCTAACTTCAAAGATCAGTATCGTGTCTCGGAATAGGGAATCTCAGGCTTGCAGTAGCCTTGAGGGCAGGGGAAGAAGGTGCTCCTCCAAACCAGCCAAGAGCCTCTGACAGCAGCGTGTCTCAGAGGACCCCATCCATACTGTGTGACTGTCATGTGCTTGATACAGGAGCTCACTGTTGTCCATGCTTCTCAACTCTCATTCCAGAGCCAGTGCACTCACTGGCAATAAATCTCCACATTTCCAAATTTCAGAGGGAAAGCAAAACTGGCTGCCCAGCAGATTGTTTTACTGGTGATCCATGCTGTGCAGAAAGGCCAGTGCAAGGCCTGATTAATTCTCCTTTGTGGAGTTGTACTCTGGTAGTTTGTGCCTCAAGTTTTATTCTCTTGCTGGCTCAGGCGAGGTGGAGAAGCATGTGTGATTGTGACTGCGATTGCTGTGCTAACCACAGTGTGTGTTCTCTTGTTTTTGTTTTCTGCTTTTTCACAGCAGAAGGGGCCCCGCCTCACCTACTCGACCTACCATAATCCGACCGGCTGAACCGTCCCTCTTAGATTTATAACTCGAGGCTGTAGACAGCTGGCGACGAATGCCGTGCTGGCGGCTTCCCCATTCCACCCTCCCTTCCGCAGCCACAGTCACTCCCCTCATCCATCCCACATCTCTGCCTCCCACCACCCCTTCCTGGTGTGTCGTAAAACACTAGCCTAGTGATCGAGCTCTTCGTCTTCACTCATGCGTCCTGTATTGCTTTGTGAGCGTAGAGTAGCCTTCATTCAGTGGCATGGATCCCTGAAGTACACAGGCTCCTTGGAGAGATCAGCCGCAGGGACATCCTTAAGTCCAAGTGGTGGCTGTCCATCCAGTTATTTCATCTGCCTGGTCTAGCCTGGATAAGTGTCCTGCCTGCATCAGTTAGCTGTAGCACCTAGGACAGATCTGTAGCTATTTCCTTTTCTTGTAGTTAAGAAGACAAAAGTGTGACTTAGAAGAAAAATACTGTCAAAACATGTGACACCGTTAGGAACAGATTAAATGTCCTGTGTATTAGTTTGACTTCTAAGGTGCAAAAATTCACATTGGGAACAGTGCAATCAACCTTGTATCAAAGTGAGGCAGGGAGATCAAGAAGGGGGGGAACTCAATGGATCGGCATAGTCCTGCTAGAGTGAAGTCTGAGATAGCGCGCACACACCGCAGCGTGCAGGGAGCACATGGACCTGCTCACGCTCAGCTCCCCAGAAGAGCTGGGGAAATCCTGCTGGTGACGCACTGGCTCCTGCCAGCGGTTGTCTTGCATCATCACTTTTGGCTGACTTTCCTGAACCCAGCAGGGAGAGGGGAATAGATAAGCTGCTCCCCCTTGCAAATGGACAACCAAATGTTTTCAGGGAGTTCGCTGTGTAATGTTTTGTTGAAAACATTTCTGCTTTGAATAAGCACATCTTTCAGTGTTTTTTGGGTACTGTGGTGACTTCTTCCGTAGCCTTTTCTTCTTGCATGTGGATGGTACGTGTTTGGGGAAAATTGTAACCGTTGTTGATCGCAACTCATCTTCTTAAGGTTTGTTTTTTTACTTTTCATGCTACGTGTATTTAAAAAAAAAAAAAGACTTGAGAATTAAAAATCTATTAACCCTGTACATCTCGGATGTCATGTCTCTGCCAGAGCTAAATGAGCCACCTGTGGTGCAGGCTTTCAACCAGGCCTGATTCAGATTTAAGTTACCTTATTTCAGTGCTATTGCTTTTAATTTCTGTTGTGGATCCTCTATTGTTCTGATGCCAGTTCCTTTCTGTATTTTAACTGTTGTTTTACTGCTTCTCCCCCCTTTTCCTTCCCTTCCCCTTTTCCTTTTTTCTTTGTTTTTCTTGTCTTTAAACTCCAGCCGGCCGGGTAAGGCCAGTCCCTCCCGCCCGGAGAGTCCAAAACCACCATTTGACATGTAGGCCTGCTCCCTCTGAGACTTTGCCTGCCTCTTAGCTGTTCTGTCCTGGAATGGTCTGACTCGCATCTCACACATGGCTTGTTTCGTTTGTATTTTGTGACACACATATCAGATGTGACTGTAGTGAAACGGTTGTGTTTGGTTTTTTTTTTTCTTCCCAGCTGCTTAAAGGAGTTAAACAAGTATATTGTAGTAATGAGAAACATATCTTTACTGTTATAAATATCTATAAATATATATATAAGATGAAAAATCTATATATGTCCAGGTGTTTAAAGCCATTTGTGCTTCCATGTGGATTTTAGGAAATACTTAAGTAGGGACAGAGTATCTATATACATATATATATATATACACACATCCAAAAAGTTAACCAAATCCTGATGTTGAAGTTTTGAGCTGATTGTTAAATTCTCTGCTGTGTGCAGTTGGGTTATTGTATTACCCCAGACTTGTGGGTGAACTGTCTCAGTGCTGGTAGTAGCTGTGATGCAGTTTGTGATCTACCTGTCACTCTTGTTTATTGGATGAAATAAACTATCATTTCTGTATAATGAAGGTCTCCATGACTAGAATAAAACCATCTCTTGTTCTCTTGCTCTTTCACTGGGTGATTTTCAAACTGTGTTTAATTATAACCTAATCTTTTCATCCCATAGAGCTTAAAGAGCTATACATGCAAGCAGGTGCTAACACTGATAGGGAAGGTGGAACAGATCTACATCAATAGTGGTATCCCGAAGCTGCAGTAGAGAGAAACAGCTCTTCAGAGGTGGAAGTTAACGCCTTTTCTCCTTTGTAAAGGAAAATGCATTGAGGCGCTTCAGTGACAGACATGCAGACGGTGGGAGTTTTGCACACAAAATTGCCTGGTTCTTAAAAAGGTATTTTTGCCTAGGGTGTTTGTGGAACACAGCAAGCAGGTGTTGAGTTGTAGTTTCTCTGTCAAGTGGTGTCTTTCAGGCCTCTGTAACTGAAGTGCACTCTAACACACGTGGCCAGCTTCTACTTGGAAGTTGCTGAAGTGGGATTTCTCCCCTGGTATAAACTGGGTAAGGCTTTCCCTAGTGTCTCCATGCCAAAACAGTGAGGGCTATGGGTCTCGGATCATGGTCACAGCTTCTCACAGTGACAACCACATTTCTCCATAATTCCTGAACTTGCCAATCATTGGGATGACAGTGCTATGGGTTCCTTAAGCCCCTGTGCCATGGGGCTCCAGCGCTACTGCAGGAAGAAACCAGGAGCATTGGGGTTGCTGACTTAAATCGCCGTAATATTATTGATGCCTAATTTAGCCCTGAGTGCTCTTGGCTACAGCTGGCTGTGGTACTTGTGCAATCTCCCTCCCTAGTAAGACTTTAATAAGCTAAAAATCTCCTTGAAGACTTTATTCATAGTAGATACTGGTGTGGGTTGAGTGAATAGACCAGATCTCTCGTGCTTCCTTCCTACATGTGTTCTAGCTACCTCTGTCTTGCATCTTGCATGTTTTCATGGGTTGTAACTTCAGCTTCTACTCAACTGAGGCGATAACCATTGCTTGCCCTACCCTGTCCTGTTTTTTTACCCCCTCACTGGAACTGTTCCATCTATCCCTGGTGTTATACATAAGGGGGTTGTTTAAGAATATTACATTTTTTGAAGGCAAAACTATGTATTTATTCAAGTAAATATTGGAGCCTTATATTGCAGAACTAGAAACTCTAATCTGCTGGTTATCAAAGGTTAAATATGTTCTGATGAGAATCCTGGCTACCCAGCCCAGGCAAGGTGCAATCCTGTCCATGGATCTACAACCTTGTCAAAGTGTCCTCTTCCCAGTGTAACAGCTGTTTCCTGCTGGCTGGTGCTTATGGCTTTTAAGAAGCATTTTTTTTCTATTTTTCCTTAAATTAGAGGTGCAGAGGCTGTTGTGTGTCAGCTGGACAGTAGTTCCTGCTCCTGTGCCTGCTCTTACTTCACCCCAGGTAAAGGTGGGGTCAGGGAAAAGCTCCTAAAGGGAAAAGGGTGAAATGTGAATCTGAACCCAGAGTCTGGATGTGAAATGCTAGCCAAGAGAAATGTCCCAGGCTTGGCAGCAGTCTGCCAAGAGGAAACATTCATGAATGCTCAGGGAAAACTGACTCAATGCCAGGGCAGGTGCTTCTAGAGTCAGGCCAGCCTTTTTAATAAAGAATTCATTCTTTTCTTTTTTTTTTTCCTGGCCAAATTTTGAGACCATCTAGACAGAAGAAATACATCTAGTTGGTGCCCATCTGAATAAGTTTATTCAGAAAGCAAATTTGTAACAGGATTAAGTCACCTCTGCAGCCCTTTGCTGTTCTTGTCTCCTTCACAGTATTAGAGTAGAACACCCAATAAATATTTATTCCATTTATAATAATGCTCTGTATTAAATCACAGCCCTGCCCCCATGAGTTATGATACAGATTTAGGAATAGCCTGAGCAGCCATAAACACTGCCAAAAGCTTAGTCTATCTTTAAGGAATATACAGCATTTTACAGAGATACACTATGTACACAAACCCATCACTTGTGTTGTGCTAATGACAGATGCTGCTAGCACCATTCAAACGAAAGAAGTTCAAAAGAACCAGCTTCCATCTTCCCCGGGTGGGTTTGTAGCAAAGCACCAATTGTTCTGCACACCCTTTTTTCAGTTGCATAAGGAAAAAGTCAAAATGAACCATTTAAAAAAAAAAAAACAAAAACCTGCGTCTGGCAGTAGAAGAAAAGCTAGTTCTACCGTGCTGTGTAAAGCTTGACCAACTCAGACACAGAAGAGATGAATGGTCTCTGTTGTTGATAAACCAAAAAACTGATACCATGTTCCTGTGCTTGCATCGCTCAACAGGTTAACGGGGCGGTGCGTGCTTCTTGAGGCACTCGCCCAGGCTTGTGTCTTTGGACCACAGAGGCCTGCCACTTAAGGTCCGGTCCCTTAAACCTCCCCTGTGGTCTTCCTTAACTCCATTGCTGAAATGAATCATCCTAAGAAGGGGTGGTTCTTACCCAAAAGGCAAGTTTACTTCAATGCTTGCACCCCCAAGGACTTTGCTTTGCTCCTACTTCAGGGTCTGCTCTCCTCCCACCATGCTTTTTCTCCTTAGAGTTAGGGCTACAAGTTCAAGGCAGTGCTAGGTGGTGCCTCTGTTGCTGATGTGTGTGTCCCAGGAACTTAAACAGGGCCACAGGATCATGGATTCCACCCATCTAATGCACTCCTTACCAAAATGGGGGAAGATGAAATTTAAGTGATGGAGAACTAGAACCCCTAGAGTCCAGAAATTCAAAACAAAGCATGTTTATTAAGTGGCTTCCTTTTACTTACGTCTCCCATTTTTTTTTTAAAATAAATAAAACTTTCAGACACATACAAGTGAAACACATCATCCTTCAAAGTGCAGTTACGTTTCCACCCCACTCCCAAGAACCGCATAAAGCTTTGTCAAGTAACCAAAAAGACTCAAAAGGCAACCCTTGCTCCCTTCCCCTTGCCCAGCTAGCCAGGAGCCTCTCTTTTGGCTGACGAGGCTGGTTTCAGATACAGTTGCGAGAGGCAGGCTGCAGAAGGAAGGGGGAAGTTTAAGATACATAGTATGAAACAAAACCAACCTGTTTTAGAGTCCAAAGAGTTTGTTACCAGAATAAGTTAGTTCAGGAGCCCTGGAAGGAACTAGGCTGATTACAGTCATGAGTGAGGGATCAGAACCGCTGCTCAGTCACTGCGGTGCTGCTGGCTGCTGGCAGCAGTCTGGGATAAGGGATTAAGTCATTTTGCCTGAAGTCATGGAGTCCCCTTCCCCCCGGCCTGCACCCGGCCCAGGTGAGGTGCCAGCACCAGCTGCCTCCCAGGATTGGTTCGAGTCTGCCTGTACTCCAAGCACACCAAGTAACAGAAGAAAGAGAAAAGGAGGATGAGGTCTGATGCTCAAATTCCATCTGTGCAATCCCTCTTTCCTGATGTTGTTAAAGCAGATAGCTGTTCTGACCAAGGGCACTGAGCAGAGGTATGGGCACGTACAAGTCAGTTAAGTCCTTTCAGGCTTATAGAAAATTGCTGTAAATAAGATTTAGCGCCACTTAAACTACCATGATTTTGACCTCATCGTTCTCATCAGCACGGTAGAAGAAGGGAATGCAGGGGTTTTCCATCAGGGAACCCAGCCTCTCCTGAGGGTTCTGGATTTCTCTGAGAAGCTGCATTATTTGCTTTGCTGTGGGGTCTTCTTGGCTTGGCTGAGCAGCTTTACTGTCAGTAGGGGAGAAACTGGATTGATGAAGAACAGCAGCCTCTTGTTCTGCTTCATCTGATAAACTGACTTCTCGTAACCCTGTAAGGAACACAGACAAGGCAAGCAGGTAACTCTTCCCCTCCATGCACAACACTGAGACCTTGGGTTACTCCATTTTACAGAACCTGTCCTGGCTGCAGCTTACCTTCTCCATCAGTAGCATTCAGTTCAATGCGCCTCTCCACTGGAAGTACGCTTTCATTCTGGCTTGCTAACAGCTCTGGGTTTTGAGCCACTGCTACATACTTGCTGTACCATTCGTTTCTTTCCTTGACCAGACGCATCACTAAATCCTGCAGTTCCAGTAGTTTCATCTGTACCAAAGTAAAGGAAAGCCTATGAATCATGCACATCCTTGTGGCCACACACACTGCGCTACAGTCTGCAGTCCTGCCTGTGTCACAAAATCAGGAACTTCAAAGTTAAAGCTAGCTGAAGGACAGCATGTAAAGGTTTGGACTGTGCAAGTGCTCCCCAGCCTGCCTTGCTCGAAGTAATACTAGAGAAAGGATTCCTTGCCTTCATCTCTTCCTTGTCCTGAGCCAATCTGCTGATGTACTCCTCTTTCTCCTGGTGTCGCTGCTTGAGGATAGCCCTTTGACTCTGGTATAATGCAATATACTCCCCTGGAATAAAAGAGAAGTGTAAGAACTAAGTGTTAGCACAACTGGGGTACCAGCCTTACAGTGAGCATAGAACTATGTGGCATGAGGATCCAGCAAATCCAACCCTGG